TTCCACGGGGAGTTACTTAAATTTATCTGATAAACTAAATTTATGAAAATTTAAAAAGAAAGGCGGGCATATTCCTTATGATGAAAATATTGCTTCCGTTTGTTATAATTTTTTATTATTATTTGATTTATTATTATTTATTGTTATTATTTCAACTGATAACATTTATTTTATACTTACTAATGTTACTGGTTATTCTGTTACTACATATTATTCATAAATTGTGAGTATTATTATCGGGGTGGGTATTTTCGGGTTGTAGTATCTTATTGAGCTCATCGCTCACTGGCATTCCCGTTGCCCTGGCATTTTATGCTAGGTACCGAAGAAATCGAAGGAAACACTGGGGCCTTGCAAGGCGACACTCAACCTTGGTTAGCTTGAAGAGTGTCAAGTTTCATGAACTATTTTCTAAAATTTCTAATTTTTCTCTAGTTTTCTTTTTATATTTGTATCATTTCTTTTATGTACTAAGACTAAGTTGTGATGTAAGAACTTTAAATTCTGGGTTGTTAATTAATGGATGTTAGTAATATTGGTGGTAATATTGATTTTAAATTCTAAATCTTATTATGATGTCCTTAAATTTTGTGGTGTCACACTCAGGATTGATGTGCTTGGTCAGATTACTCCAATGATCAAGGCTAATAGTTTGAGTATAAGCAAAGAGGCTTTGAAAGTAATCATTTGCTAAACTTTTTAACTGCATGGGGTTATGCACCCAAACCCCTTCCTCATTTTTCAAAACTCCAATTTTTGTTTTCCTTCTCTTAATAATGGTAGACATATGAAAAAAATTTGTATTCCGCTCACCTTGAGTAATCCAGTTAACACGGGATTTTTGAAATCAAAATAACTCTTCTTGTCAGAAAGATTGTGTTCAATTACCTCCTCCAAGGTGATGCTTGTAGGCTTTTATAAGTTTCCCGTGGTACAATCCTGGTAGGACTTGTATTTCTCCATGCAGAGTCCTCCTAGGATTCATTCTCCTAAGGATAATGCTTATCCTTTTACACCCTCCCCCACTGCTTAAACCAAGTGGGATGGTTTTCTCCATAGCCGAACTACCATACGACCGAAATAACATTGGCTATGCTGAGCCACAGAGAAGGCCGAACTATCCTTAGCTCGGTCTTCTCTTCTAACTCATTACTTCGGCTGCCCTTGTTCAACCTTGACGTACTTAGATCAAACTTCCAAGTAACAAGTTCTGACCGACCTAACCATTGTAAGTCACGACCGGACTAACTCCGAAACCGGCCTTCTCAGAACATACTGTGACCGGACTAACTCTGAGACCGGCCTAACCGTAAGTTGCCTAAAGACCGGAGTAGTTTTACTCTTCCTTGGGCCGAAGTAAATATCTCTTCTTGAGCCGGAGTAATTTCACCTCCTTGGGCCGAAGTAACTTTGTCTTTCTAAGGCCGGAGTAACTATTGCGGCCTCCTTACTTAGTCCTTCGCATTTTGGGCCTCAATGCCCAACTCGCGGCTTGGCCCAATTTTTCCCAAAAATTACCCTCTCAATTGCCCCTTAATTCCATTTGCTTAGCATGATTGGGATTACCTACCCTCTCACTTCCTGTAATTTAAAAAATTTAAATATATCCTTATTATAATTTTTATTTGATAGAATTAACTAAAAATATGAAATTACACTCACACACACTAATAAAATTATCAGAGCTATTAACTAAAATAAATTTTTGACATTATTAAAAACTGTTAATTGACTTGATGATTTATTAATAAAATATATTATAAAATTAAAAATTTCTAAGAATGAGATGTAATTTTCAAAATTATAAGAGACAATTTGTATTTTAAACGTATTTGTGATTTATCCTATTATATAAATATCAATAATATTATCAATTTTTGTATACACTAATAACTACATGTTCAAGTGTTTAAGTTTTAAAAAGTTATAAATTAAAATTAGGGTAAACTTCACTTTACCTCCTGTGGTTTGGGTCGGGTGCGGTTTACCCCCTGACATTTGGAAATCACCACATAACCCCCATATGGTTTGTGGATTAAAACGCAAACTAACTTCTGTTAACAGAATGTATAAATTTACCTTTATATGCCCATGTCTTCTTCCTCTTCACTCTTTTAAATTAAACTTACAAATATACATATATATATATATATATATAGACACCTATTTTATTTATTTCTTCTTTCTTTTGAACTGAACCTACACATATATATAGATATATACACATATATTTTCTTTCTTCTACCAACTCTAACAAATTTCAACTTCAAAAAATTTTGATTGATGCAAAACACTAGAAAACCCAACATTTTTCACATATTACATTATATATGCTATCAGATTGAATTTGACCCAAATATATACATATATATATATATATACTATGAATCTGATCAAAATTAGACCCAAATAAATTTTTCATTATTTTTAATAACCCAATTACAATTAGATTGAATTTAGGTCTACAACCTACCATAGCTGCAGCGCGCGGCAGCTTCGCTTGAACAGCAAAAGCCGAGGCTTTGACAGTGAGATTTCGGGTCAGAACTGAAGAATTGTAGGTGGTATGGGTCTTGGTGATGGACTTAAATGTGAAGCTTGTTCCAATATATGAGTTTGTGATCAGTGAGTGTCATTTTGACTGATTTCTTTGATTTTGAGTGTTGGATTTGAGGTTGAGAGTTGGTGATGATGATGATGATGATGATGACGATGACGACTTTGAAGACCGAGTTCTACATGTGGGTAGAGATTAAAACCCAGATTGACAGAGAAGGTAAGAGGTAGGGACGCCATTGCTGTGGTAGCATTGTTATAGAGATAAAAAAATGTAGCTATATGTATATATCAATGTAAAACCTTTTAAAGACTAACTGTCATCTCCTTCTTTCTTCATTGTCACCGTTTTCTCCCAAAACACTCCAATTTTCCCAAATTACAAGCTTCCAAACCTCATTTTCAACCCACCATAGGGAGAGAAACAGTAAAGAAAGAAGGAAGATGAATGGTATATTTTATAAATTTGAAGGTGAATGTGGGGTAATTTAATCTTAAAAATTAACTTACCCTCATCTAGGCACATGAGCTTCATATACTGTTCCTTCATATGAAAAAACTGACACGAGCCTCACATTCCGTTCGTTTAGATGGAAAAACTAATGATACATTTTAATCCATAAATTACATAAAGATTATGTAGTGATTTTCAAATGTTAGGTTATATCGCACCTGGCCCCAAGCAAAAGGGTAAAGTCAAGTTGCCCTTCAAATTAAGACACATCCCAAGTAGGAGGAGCTTCCCAAAATCATAACCTGAACATGCCCAGAAATCATAACCATCCAAGAAGAAACAGAGAATTTGTCTCAAGCATTTGATCAAACAGCTCTCGGGCTTCCCTCATTCGACAACAACGAATAACCAGTAACAACTGAAGTCCAAGCCCTCGCATTCTTGCCTGCAAACGAGTCAAAGAGCACTTGAGCCTCGTCTAATCGGCCATTTTGGGCGTACCCACAAATCATAGAGTTTCAATCCAAGCTGCAGTCTCTCTGAATCATATCATCAAACAGTCTTCGATCTTCTTCATCGACTCGGCCGAGCCTTTCAAGCTCTTCAATCCTCCTCGTGTTGCATTGAAAAAGGTTGGATCGTGGGGTCTCTTCTCTTCAATTGGTTGAGCGGGAGAGAGAGCAGCGAGAGAAACAAAAGTTATCGCCGCAATTAGGAACTGTTTGGCTTGTGAGGTCTCTCTCTCTCTCCCTCCCCCCCCTCCCTCTCTCTCCTATTTTTGTCCATTGAATCCGTCTTTAAATTACATATACATTCAGTCTCTCAACTATTTCCCCAATTTTCCTGGGAAACAAACGCATCCCAGATTGAATTTTTCTGGAACCCTAATAAAAATTTTGATATGGAGAGTTGTCGCCCCTGTAAGAGTTGTGGAAAGAGGACTATCGTCTCCGACGACGCAACGTGCAGCTTGGTCTGCTCGTCGTGCGGAATCATTCAAGAATTTGATGATTTACAGCACCATTTTGGCGGCCTCAGTGGCCCCGCCGGGACATTTGTCCGCACCGGCACTGCCGGTACTGGTAATGTCTATCGTTACAAGGAAACAAAAATATACAGGGCTAAAGAGACCCTTGAACGCATTACTTCATTGTTGAATTTTTGGCCTTCCAAGACGAATGAGGTTAGGGTTATGGTGGAGACTATTACTGAGGGAGAGTATGGTCAGGGTGTTTGGTTACCTGTACTTATTGGTGCTTGTGCTTATGTTGTTATGCGAAACGATAATAAACCTTTGCCGCTTTTTGAGGTGGCCGATAAGGTCGGTTGTGATATTTTTGAACTTGGTCGGATGGTTAATCGGGTTGTTGATTTTCTTGAATTGAAATTGCCGGAGTTTAATATAGTGAATTCATTTGAATGGGTGGTCAAAACTTGTTTTGATGAAAATTTAATGGATAAGGAAAAGATTGAGAGAATTTTAAAACAAGGGATTTTTTTAATGCAGTGTTTGGTGAAGTGGTATTTGACGACGGGGCGGAGACCGATTCCGATTGTTGTGGCCGTATTGGTATTTGTTGCACAATTGAATGAGGTTGATGTTCGGCTTGAGGACATGGCAAAGGAATTACTTGTGGCTGTTCATACATGCAAGTTGCGGTATAAGGAGCTTTTAAATAATCTTGTGAAAGTTGCACAAGCATTGCCTTGGGGCAAGGATATTACGGTTGAGAACATCATGAAGAATGCACGGTTCGTGATTCAATATATGGAATTGAAGTCAATGTCTAAGCACGGTGAGAAGAGGAAACGTTTAGAGCATGTTGGATTTGATTTGGATGGTTTGGTTCGTGATTGTTTGAGCAAAGAAGTTGAATTTGGAATGGATAGTTATGGCATGGAAAATGATTCTCAATATTTTGAGGTAGAAGATCCAACTGGTTCCCCAAGATGGAGTATAGATGATTTGGAGAAGCTCAAGATTTCACATGAATGCTTGTCACTGTTATATTCAAAGTTATCAAATGAAGTTTCTAATGCCAATTCAGTGGGTGAGAGTGGGAGTGACAATAGAAGGAAAAGGGGGATGGGGTTTGACCTTTTTGAGTGTAGGGAGTGGTGGAAAGGAAAATCAGAACTGAGCAAAAAGCTTTTCCTCAAGCAAATACTGGAGAAAGATGTAGGACTCAATGCTTTGCCTCCCTCTTTCGTCTCGGGATGCTTGGCATATCAAAGGAGGAGAGAAAAGATAAAGGCTGCTAAAGTGCGTATCAATAAGATTATGTGTCCGCCAAATGCCAATTCAGGTGACAGGGATGATGACCTTTGCATTTTGGAATGCTTAAATGGTGGGAATAAACGAAGGAGAAAGAAAATGGCCATTGATGTTGATTGGGAAGATTTTATTATTGAGACCCTTCTCCTTCATCGGGTGGAGGAGGAGGAAATAGAGAAGGGGCACTACAATACCTTACTGGACTTGCATGTCTTTAACTCTGGAGGTGTGTAATTAGCTTCATCACGGTTGGAATTGTGGCTTGAATCCACTCAACTGCATCGGTCACTGCACTATTAGAGAGAAGCTTTGTATTTTGTACTCCTCCAGCAGGAGGGAATCTATTTTTGTTACCTATTTCTGCAAAATTAATACAAGGTATCAAATTTTTTTGTTATAGAATTTTGGTTTCCACATATTTATGTGACATATGAGCTTGTTCCTTGAATTTATCCAGTTTCACAATGTGAAGAGCTTGAAAACTTCCTGCTTTTTCTTTTTCATCAAGGAGTGTGTGGCAGGGATCCATTGAGATTGATTCAAATTGGACATGTATGGGGTTTGCTGCTGATAGATCTACCCATTCTTTTTGCTTAAAGTGTTATATATTCTGTACAGATATCTTTTGTTTGTAGTACTCTGCTTTTGGTTATCTTTTCTTTCTCTCCTTGTATTTGTTTGTTTGCCTTTTTTTATTTATTTATTTTAAATATCAAGTGCTAAGTGATAATTTGGGAAATATTTTCAGCAGTAATTTGATTCAAGTGATCACTTCGGCCCAAAGAAAAATTGCTAGTGAAAAAGTGCTTGTTTGCTTGCGGGGGGGTGCTTGGAGATAATGGGGCTAAGTGGATTGGTGCGTCCCTTTTTCATTTAAAAAGTACAAAATAGAATGCCTCATTAGACCAGTGCTAATGCAGTGAAATAGGGAAAGGAAGGAAAAATTAAACTTCAATCTGAATTTTTTTGGGTGACACTTTTACAAAATCATACCGTTTCAGATTATCTTCATAAATCTGTTTGAAGCTCAAATTTCAATCTAATCTTGATGGCACCTCGTAGTTAACAATTTGACACACGATAACTTAACTTTGAGAACTGTAACTATCAGTCATTAAGCAGCTAAGGCCATGTTGAAATCATAGAGGCAACAGTTATTGGCCCTTTTGTTGATATTTGTCATTGTAGGGTCGAGCAGCTTGCTATAAATTTGAAAGCTATTCTTCCTGATTGAATAACAGGGAGATCATATCTGGCCCAGTAAAAACATTTCAATCTTTGAAGCTGCTGACTTTCATTGTGCTTGTGGTTGGATGTGAGAGAGAGAGAGAGAGAGATTGCCATTTGTCAAGAGTTGCATAAGGTTTTTTTGATGTATTAAGATGAAGCTGCTTCTTATTTTAATTTTGTAGAAAAAAAAAAAAAAAGAAAAAAACCTGTAAAGGGACTTTCAATGATGTTTGGAGGAGTTCAAAAATAAGATTATTGTAATTGCAAAATTGCCACAAAGTTTGGAGGAGATCAAAATTAAGATTGTACTAATTTCAAAATTGCAACACAAAAATGATTGAATTTGTTTCTTTTTGGTTAGTTATTTTTGACTACCACTTTTTCTTGTCAATTTTTTTTGTTGGTTGTGTCGAAAATATATTTAAGTTCCACAATCTGTGCGACTGCCTATTATGTGGACTTCTTCTTTTTCTTTACTATCAGATAGTTTTATTAACACCTAGGTTTTAATCAATGATGGCTTAATAAGTGGGATGATATATTTACAAATTGATGTTAATGTCTACCTCTGAAAATGTCTGCCCAAGCATTCAGCAGTATTGGGTGTTGTGATTCAAACTAAAAAGACAGAATGTTTACACAGGCAGTTGCAGACAGATTAAGAGGCGATTTCATCATGTTTGGGTGCTTTTATTAAATTCAATCGCTGCTTTATGTACGCAGGCTTCTTCATTGCAGATTGTTTTGTTTAGTACTTTGTGTCGTCAGACGAGACTGTGCAACCACTGAAAAAAGGAGACAAGAGGTGCACCTGGCAGCAACAAATACCTCCAACAATATCAATCTGCACAAAATTTGGTTGGAGTAAACGGAAGAAATATAACTGGAACAAGGTATGGACAATATAGACCCCACATAACTTTCAATTTATTCTATTCTCTTCCTTGAACAGATGGAACCACTCCTTTGTGAATTATTGCATATCACTCCCTTGCTGATATCATGGACCCTCATCCATCAGAGAACTTTTCCAGATGCCAAAATTCTCTCTTGATTTGATGATCTGGACAAATAGGCTTACCTTCAATTGATTGAAAAGTTCTCGAGGAATTTCGCACCTCAATGCTGATTGCAGAGCTTTGCCTTGTAGAAGATTACATCATAATAGACAAAACAATTGGCATGATAAAAATCCATAGCTTCAAGACTCTAGAGTTATTTTTGGATATGTTCAATTTTTCATGCTCCCATGAGGCAACCCCTAGGGGGCTTAGAGCTGTTAATTATTTGATATTCCATTAATGTTTCAAGTTGTTTTTTGGGCAAATGGAAACATTTTGGCCATTTCAATGGAAACAAAATTAGATTTTGTTCCTTGCTTCTAAAAAGGGTCCTTATATTGAAGTTTTATTCTGCAACCATGAGGTATCTGTCCAAACTTTGATAGACTCTTTAAGTAAATCATTTTGTAGAATCTTGTTTATGGGTACTCTTAATCTGGACATTTATCTAATCCGTAAAGTTATGACTGATTCTTTTCCTATGAATCCATCCATGTTTGTGTTAAAACTTGTTCAAAATTAACATTCTTGTGTCTCTTTCAAGCTTGACCCAATTTTTGCTTCACATGTGGGCCATATTTTAGATTCCAAGCATTATTTTGGAATAATGGTCTAAATAGTTAGAAAAAAAGTAGATAGAATTTTTTTAAATCAATCCTGATTTTCATACATAGTCAAATTCTCTATTTGTTCTACCCTTAAATTGATTTGAGTATTTATAAGAATGTAGAACATTTTTCCTATGAAGAGGTTCATCACATAAGTTATGTTACAGGCTAAGGAGCATGGACACGGATACATGACACGACACGAACACGTTAACATGCTAATTTTTAAAAAATACAGGACATGACATGTAGGGGACACGTATGAAATCTGTAATTTTATATATTTATTATATGTTATATATATGAATATATCATCTAAAGATAATAAAAAATGCAATGTGACACTAATCTCTATAAATTTATATGGTTTTTGTTTTATTATTGTATCTTAAGTTGTTTTGTTCAAACTTATAATTGGTTTTACATGTGTCTAATTGATAGATACATGCGTTTAACAGAAAACACATGTGTGTCTTCCAAGTGTTTAAAGAGTGTCCGGGTCTTTAAAAATAGGACAAGTTTTGAAGAGCTTCGGACACATGTCGGAGAAGTGTCCAAAGAGTGTTGGTGTCCGACATGGACACGACACGGATACGTTACCTTCTTAGAAGTGCCCATGCTTCTTAGGTTACAAGGGTTTAAGAATGTTGCCGAAGTGTCCGTAAAGTGATCGATATTGTGAATTTAAAATTTTAATTAAGACATGTTGAAGAAATGTTGGACTCCCTTTTAGGAGAGTCCATAGAATGTCGATGTCCAACAAGACACGGCTTCTTCATAGAAGTGGCTGTTCTTCTTAGTCTACATGTCTATTTGTCACATTGTATTGGCTACTAGAGCTGCTATGTCACATTAATATCAGTTGCTCACTTGGAGAGGAAGCACTTAGACATGCTGAATGATGACAATATTTTTTATTATCTAATCTACCTTCAAATTGATGTGTGTACTTTTGCAAATCTTAGTCTACCTTTTTTCCTAGGGTAGGAAATTGTGCAACCATGCTTTGTTGTGGTTGTGTTTTCTGTTGTTTATTCTCCTTGCACCAGGTTGAATAGCTACTCTGTTTTGAGGTTTACTATATCTCATATCATTTATCCTCCTGATGCTGCTAATGTTTCTCAAATCAAAATTGTTTCTGTATTTTGACACTGCAGACAGTGGGCGCCAATATTGAAAACCAACTGCAGACAATGGGTGCCGATATGAAACAACTCTGTCAAAATTTATGCATGATGTGATGCCTTCATTTTCACCAGATTTCATGGAAGGGGTAGCTCCTGAATTATCTGCTCAACAAAATAAAAATGTTAATCTCACAACTCATGAAAGCTCAATGATTGGTGTTGACATTGACCCTAAGAAGGGACTTTGCAACAAAAACTCTTTGGCCCATCAATATTGTATGGAACCCATGGAAGAGAAACATAATGATTTATTGTCGAAGAAAAAGGATGATATTGGTACGAGTGAAAAGTGAAATGTGAGTGTCGTGAAAAATGGCACAGCGAAGAAACCGTTCCCAACCGAGATTCCAGTAGTAGTTGATACTGCAGAGAAAGATTCAAGCTTGGCACCATTATTTTGCAGAGTCAACAAATCTGATGATGAAAGATGGGATGGTCAAGAGGATTTGTCAACACCAGTATCACTAGATGGATATCACTCTTGTGTGAAGGAAGTGGAAACTACTAACCATGTAAATGCCATAGCTGACAAGTCAAATGTCCTGCCACCAGCTAATTCAGTTATTTTAGTTGAGTTCTGCAAATGCATAGTTTCTGATGCTGTACTTACTTCAAGTGATACTTTCTCAGCAATATCAAATGGTAAGGTTCTGTTATCCTATTTGTTCTATGTGCTTCTTTCTTTACTTTTATTTACTTCTGTCAATTTCTACTCTGACTGGTGCGGCTACTTATGTGACTACATCTGTGACAGATTCTGTTGGCTTGGGATTGAGCTATCCAATAAAGTTTCTGAATCAGAAGATTATGTTTCCATTGCAGATTCTGGTAACTTGTTATTTCTGTTTTTTCTCATGTATTTTAATTTTTTTTTTTTTGTTGAAATATTGGAGCCCAAGATAATTGTGCTTAGAGGGGGGTATGAATAGGCCAATTTCAAGAATTATCTCAAGATTACGCAATTAATTTTGATGATTCAAATTAAATTGTGATCACATTGGAAAATCCAAATAACTTCGAGATGGGAGACACAACAATTAACGTGGAGACCCTCCAGGAAAACTCTCCAAGAGGGGAAAAGCCATGGTCCCAATACTCAGCAAAATCTACTGCAGGACACACAGGAAGGATTACAACCAAACCTTGGTTAACCCTATCTCTGAAGTCTTGAAATGCTCCACAAGCACAACCTTACCCAGTCAGCCTTGTTTGACTCGATTGAACAGCACAAAGCTTCCCTCCTTGACCTTCATACACCGACAACTTTGTTAACCCAATGGCCAGGAGTGAGAGGACAATGCAATGCAGGATTTTTTTAAGGTTTTTGTTTTTGATAACTCACTCATTGTAGTGATGAGTTTGCAGAAGTTGACAGAAGTTTGGAACTAAGTTGAGGTGAGGGGGCTATGAAGCCTCATTACAAGCGACCATTTTCAGAGTAGCATTACATGGGGCCCAATTATGGTTACAGAATTAGTGGTTTTAGGTATTATACCTAAAAAAATTAGTTAGCTTAGACCTAGTAATTATTCGATATTCCACTAATATTAATGTCGTTTATTCGATATTCAACATTTTGACCATTTCAATGGAAACAAAATGAGATTTTGCTCCTTGCTCCTAAAATGGTTCTTATGTTGAAGTTTTATCCTGCAACCAGGAGGTATTTGTCCAAACTTTGATAGACTCTTTTACGTAAATCATTTTGTTCTTTTGCTGCTCATTTTCAATTGTTTGTTTAATTAACCTAAACCCGCTTGGGTGCTTGCTTGCTGATTTTATTCTTCGGGTAATATATATATTGTAAACTTCTTTTAGGTTCTATGAAGCTTCATTTTTTCTTATGTCAGAAGATTTCATTATGGAAACTTGACCTTTTTTTTATTATTGAATGGTTAATTGTTGAGCATTTGATTGGATTGAGATATATTTTTCACTTGATCAATTTAACTTGGGTTGTGGATTTAGTGCCCTTTTTTTATCCCCCCTCAAAAGTAACTTCTCTTGCATTACAAAAATAGTTCCTTCCGATCAAATAAAGTTGTAGATAATTGATAGTACCAACAAAAAAAGAAAAGAGAAACTAGTACTCAAAATCAATGAGGGAATATATTGCTAAATAAAAAAAATACATAGCAAGCTACTTAATTAAGAAACATGTATAATACATGTAGAGACCAAAAGCATGCCAATATGAATATATGAGATTAAATGAAAAGAACCTAAACCTGCATTAGCTAGGCAGCGAGGTGAGAAGCATGCCAGCTAGATTTGTTAAAAGCATAAACTTATCTAAAACTAATAGTTCTTTGTAAAAGCATTAATCAAACATACGCAAAGTTTATAACTAAGACTAACTTTGCACAAACATATGCTTCACTAATGTATCAAATAATGCTAGCTTGAATTTTAATGAAACCATAAATTCAGATAAAGGAAATGAAGAAACTGAAAAGAATGAGAGCTCAAAGAAAATATTTTAGGTTTTTCTTTACATTCAAAGTTTTCAAAGACTTTACTAAGGCTTACCTCGATGCTCACCTTGCTTCAAGGCTAAGGTAAAACGTATCAAGGCTTTGATTTTTAGGCTACTCTCTGTAAAGGCTTGCACATCACAATTTGAGGCATGCGCCTTAGGTGTGTCTTGTATGCCTTTTGCACATAAGCCTATGACGAGTATGCATATAAGAAGGCTGCGTTATACTCTTGTTAAACTTAGTCTGGTAGATAGTCTAAACATCAAAAAAAAAAAAAAAAAAAAAAAAAAAACACCTTTTGTGTCTATATTCTAGAGAAAAAAATTAAGTAAATAAACAATGAACAAAAAATACAAAGTTCATGCTCCAGTGAGAAGCTCAATCACCAAAGCTAAGAATGTCAATTTCACTTGCGATGAAGGCAAGCTTCATTCTTTGCAATGAAATGTTTGACGCCTTGAGTGCAAAATTATTTATACCTTTATAGTTAATTTTTATTTGTTTTTTTCACTATTTTAAAATATTTAATTTATTTACTAAATATTAAAATTTAAAATTCGAAATGCTTACGCCTAAACACCTCAAATTACGCATTTGCCTTTAAAAACTTTATTTACATTCATGTTAATGAAACCTTTGCTTTTATAATGCATCATTTGTTTAGTTTGTTAATGAAATCTTTGTTTTTGTATTCACTATTGTATGTATTGTACAACATTGGTTCTATCGAATCGGCATACTGAAAAGGCGCTTGCCTCTCAAAAAAAAACTCCAAGTTTCGAAGTTAGGACCTCAAGCAAGATGTTTGAGTAGTTTCCACTAAACCACAATGCTTCTTGTTGATAAATGTACCATATATGTTATTTATTGTATTCATTATTTACATCTTTGTTACATTTTTTTCAACCATCAAGTATAATTAATATATTTTACAACTAATAAATATAAAAATATTTATATAATTATTAAATAATTTTAATATATTTATAAAATAATTATGACGTCACGGTTCGACCCGATGGTTGAACTAGTGATCCGTCCACCTGATTCCTTTTTCGGGTTGCTTACCAGTCCGGTTTTTAAAACATTGTTGCCTATTACATCATCGAGTACTAGTTCAATACATGACACTGCAGCTTGTATGAATTAATTTATTCATCTGCTTTAATTTTCCTTTATTTAGTTGCATTATTTTTTTCTTTATTCAGTTGCATTATTTTTAACAATAAATTTACACAAGTTGTTACGGATATTGAGTTGCCTGAGCCTTGGCTGCTGTGGCTGCAGTGGTGCTGCAGCAGTGGCTGTGGCTGCAACTGTGATTGTTGTGTATTCATGACACTTGGATACACACTTGGACACATAGACTTGGTACTCTTATCAATTTTTATCATCGTCGCTAGTATCTTCTAACTTGATATTGATATTTGGATGAGTAGGTTGTAGTTCAAGAGGCCTAACATTCATACATGGTAGTGGCTGGAGCCCAAGTGGTGGCATTTTACATATTGCGCCTAATGAGTTAAGTCAAGTGGTTGAAGGGTATACACCCTTGGCTTCTTGTCTGGGTGTTTTAGCTCGAGATGGGAACCTTACGCCCTTTACCTATAGAACTTGGAGCTATGTATTGAAGGAAAATAAAGAGAGAATTTGGAGAGAAGTAAAGGTGAAAGAATTATTTCATTTCTTATCTTATTTTTTTTTTTGATATGTAGGGTATCCTAGACCAGCTTGCGTGCACCAAACTAAGTCCCTACAGTCCAAACAAACCTTCTGAAACAGGTTTATTTATTGTGGTCCATGGCCCCAAACCCCGAAGTCCTAGGCCTCATCGACCAGGCTAAACCCTTGGGGTTCAGTTCTTATCATTCTCTGCTCAGTGTTCCTTTTGCTCAACAATCAATAGAACTGATTGTATCAATGCAAATTTAGTTGAAGTAAGAGTTTCCTTGTGTGTTAAATAAGGCCATGGTCAAGGATGACTTGATTTCTGATTTTATTCACCATCTTGAATTAGTTAAAAGACATCTAGACTTAGTTGTGGTCTAAACTGGATACAACCTGTCCGTATTTACTTGAGCATCATATTGAATTCATTAAGCATGTTGTTTGCAGTTATTTAAACCAGTTTGAGCTGGGAATGTCGTGTTAGTTAATAGTTACATTGATGAGAGTTTGGGAGTTTGAATTGGGCACTTAATAGTTAAAGTTGCCAATTATTTGCAGGTTAATACAAATGCTCGTGAGTCGATGCAGAAAATTATTTTGGCATCTGTTAGAAAAAAATGGAGAGAGTGGAAGTGTTGAGTTAAAAAAATAGGGTATAAGCCATTCAACAATGATACTGATAGGTTAACTTATCGACCCGAAGGTGTACATGACATCAGTGGTGGAACTTGGTCTATTATTGGGGCACTCGGAAGGCACAGGTATCATTTAATGTTTTGTTTGTTGAGTAGTGCTTGGTCGGTTTTTCTTTTTTCACCACTCCCTTGCTTTCCTCTTTTGGGCTTCTTTTTTTAAAATAAAATTACAATTTCTTTTTAACCTATGTTACAAGGGCAACCCTACAGTTGCTTTATGAAGCTTTTATAATTCTGCTTTAAATGACAGCTTTTGATCTGTTCTAGTGGAGGATCCTGCAACCAGTTTGCTCTGTTTCTTGCTCAGTTACTGCTGGAGTGCTTTGGATGCTGCTGTTGCTAGTTTAATTAGTGGCTGCTTCTAGTTTTGGATTTATTGGACGTAATGCAATGGAATATTGGTTTTAAGTGGACAATTAATAGACAATCACCTTGACTCTTTGCATTGCTGATTAATCCATACTTTGCAGCACAATCATCCACATATGTTAGTGCAGCTTGTGGTCGCTCCGTTCTTAGTTGGATCACTCTGTTCTTGAGCTGTTTATTGAACTTTATTGCAATCTCATTCTAACTTTTGGCACAACCATTCTCATCTAGATACTCTGGCACTGGATTATGAACATCACAGTGGTTGCTGGTAAACATCCAATTGGTCCTGTGTTATGTACCCAGAATGATCTTGCCCCTTCTTTGTATAATTGCTGTCACAACACACCCGGAAATTAAAAAAAAAAAAAAAAAAATTTCATGTTTGATTTTTGATTTTTAAACGGGAAAGTCTGGTAATCCAGACTTACCCACCCAGAATTTTCTGGGTAGGTGATTTTGTGGTGGAGATTAATTTTTGGGTTGATAATGATAATGGGTTTGTAGTATCACTCTTTTTAAATTTAAAAAACACAACTTCATGCCTAATCAATAGAACTTAGATTTCGAATTAAGAAACTGAGACTTTAAGTTCATAAGATGAGTTTTGTTTTAATATGTAATAGAAAAGAAGTATGAAAAACAAAGAAATTCGGGGGAAGAAGACATTAAATCATAGAACCGGCAGAAAATCATTCTCAGTTGTTTGAGTAAAGGTATACGGTTTCTTTATATTTCAAAATGAAATTGTATATTTTGATTTTCAATTGCGGACACAAATAAACTGATTAACAATTGTAGACACAAATGAAGGAGCTCGCAACGCAATCTAGTGCTACAGATGAGGAAATCTCCACATAGGTTCTAGGCCCTAAGCGACCTGGTCGTGTTCTGTAAGAAATAATGTATAGAAAAAAAGAGAGAGAATAAATTGTATGTATTATTATTGATTGATGTAATGTTATATATATTACAATGATTCATGATTCCTATATATAGAAGAGGGTGAGTGTGTAGTAGGTAAGGAGTAGGTGAAGTGGAGGTGGTAGTGGTGTAGTGGGTTAGGTTTAGTGGAGTAGGTGAGATGGTAGTGGTGTAGTGGGTTAGGTTTAGTGGAGTAGGTGAGATGGTAGTGGTGTAGTGGGTTAGGTTTAGTGGAGTAGGTGAGATGGTAGTGGTGTAGTGGGTTAGGTTTAGTGGAGTAGGTGAGATGGTAGTGGTGTAGTGGGTTAGGTTTAGTGGAGTAGGTGAGATGGTAGTGGTGTAGTGGGTTAGGTTTAGTGGAGTAGGTGAGATGGTAGTGGTGTAGTGGGTTAGGTTTAGTGGAGTAGGTGAGATGGTAGTGGTGTAGTGGGTTAGGTTTAGTGGAGTAGGTGAGATGGTAGTGGTGTAGTGGGTTAGGTTTAGTGGAGTAGGTGAGATGGTAGTGGTGTAGTGGGTTAGGTTTAGTGGAGTAGGTGAGATGGTAGTGGTGTAGTGGGTTAGGTTTAGTGGAGTAGGTGAGATGGTAGTGGTGTAGTGGGTTAGGTTTAGTGGAGTAGGTGAGATGGTAGTGGTGTAGTGGGTTAGGTTTAGTGGAGTAGGTGAGATGGTAGTGGTGTAGTGGGTTAGGTTTAGTGGAGTAGGTGAGATGGTAGTGGTGTAGTGGGTTAGGTTTAGTGGAGTAGGTGAGATGGTAGTGGTGTAGTGGGTTAGGTTTAGTGGAGTAGGTGAGATGGTAGTGGTGTAGTGGGTTAGGTTTAGTGGAGTAGGTGAGATGGTAGTGGTGTAGTGGGTTAGGTTTAGTGGAGTAGGTGAGATGGTAGTGGTGTAGTGGGTTAGGTTTAGTGGAGTAGGTGAGATGGTAGTGGTGTAGTGGGTTAGGTTTAGTGGAGTAGGTGAGATGGTAGTGGTGTAGTGGGTTAGGTTTAGTGGAGTAGGTGAGATGGTAGTGGTGTAGTGGGTTAGGTTTAGTGGAGTAGGTGAGATGGTAGTGGTGTAGTGGGTTAGGTTTAGTGGAGTAGGTGAGATGGTAGTGGTGTAGTGGGTTAGGTTTAGTGGAGTAGGTGAGATGGTAGTGGTGTAGTGGGTTAGGTTTAGTGGAGTAGGTGAGATGGTAGTGGTGTAGTGGGTTAGGTTTAGTGGAGTAGGTGAGATGGTAGTGGTGTAGTGGGTTAGGTTTAGTGGAGTAGGTGAGATGGTAGTGGTGTAGTGGGTTAGGTTTAGTGGAGTAGGTGAGATGGTAGTGGTGTAGTGGGTTAGGTTTAGTGGAGTAGGTGAGATGGTAGTGGTGTAGTGGGTTAGGTTTAGTGGAGTAGGTGAGATGGTAGTGGTGTAGTGGGTTAGGTTTAGTGGAGTAGGTGAGATGGTAGTGGTGTAGTGGGTTAGGTTTAGTGGAGTAGGTGAGATGGTAGTGGTGTAGTGGGTTAGGTTTAGTGGAGTAGGTGAGATGGTAGTGGTGTAGTGGGTTAGGTTTAGTGGAGTAGGTGAGATGGTAGTGGTGTAGTGGGTTAGGTTTAGTGGAGTAGGTGAGATGGTAGTGGTGTAGTGGGTTAGGTTTAGTGGAGTAGGTGAGATGGTAGTGGTGTAGTGGGTTAGGTTTAGTGGAGTAGATATATATATATATTCTATATATTCTAGTGGGATGAATGATGAGTTGTATGAAACGATGGGAACAAGTCCATGTGGGTTAGGGAATGGCGATGATAATGTGTTGTGGGTGGTGGAAAAAGTAAAGTGAGAGAGAGACACACTGTAACATATTAACATAGTTTATCTTAGGTTTACCGGCACATTCCTTTTCTGAAGATATGCATTCCAGCTCAAACCACTTCAAATAATTCACAAATCTCATCATCACCTCACGTGATAAGAAGACAAATTTGCAGCTGTAACACTGCCCAACGTGGGTGAACAGTTGGTTGATAAAAGTCCTTTGGTGAAGTGATGGCGAATCATCCTCACTCTTGAGCCCCTCCATTACACCAACTTTGGTACCGTTTACCTTGGAAGGGGCTTGTGCATTGGCCTTAACCTGCAAACCCCCAGTGGCAGCAGATTTTGATTTAATCCCTTGTGCATCCACATTTGCTGGAGGTCCTCCAAGCTTGCTGGATGTCTTGGCACCAGAATCGGGTGGAGGAGATGCAATTGGAAAAAATGCAGAAGTAGCGGCGGTAGCAACCATTATGAAAAATCTATCACCAAGCTGAGAAGAATCTGGAAGAGCACGGTAGAAAACGTCAGAAATTGGATGTTTTGGTGGCAGATTCGAAATTGTCTGAGTGCGGAAAAGCAGTTGAGAATTGCGTGATTAGTGAAGGTCGTTTGGTGGAGAACGGTGAATCAGAGACGAAGTCTGCGAAACAGTGTGCATCTCCGACTTCAAATGTGACAAACGAGCCTGAGGTGGCTCAGAAATGCCCTAAGTTAGGCATGACTTCTGTGCGTGGAAGGAGGAGAGATATGGAAGACGCTGTGGCCATTCACCCCTTGCTTTGCCGCCGGAGTAGTCAGAATCCGGCGGATTTGCACTTTTTCGGCGTTTACGACGGCCACGGTTGCTCACATGTGGCGATGAAGTGCAAAGATCGATTGCACGAGATAGTGAGAGACGAGCTCGAAAGCCACGAAGAAGATTCGTGGAAGAAAATGATGGAGCGAAGTTTCTCTTCTTGCAGAGTTACGGCTGTGGAGAGTGGAAGGTATGTGTAGAAAATTCCAGCGGGCAGCAAAGGCAAAGGTGTCGGCCGGCTGCCCGCCGGTGAGAAAGAAATACAGGCTTAAATCTTATCGCTCTGATACCATGTAAGAAATAATGTATAGAAAAAAAGAGAGAGAATAAATTGTATGTATTATTATTGATTGATGTAATGTTATATATATTACAATGATTCATGAATTGGGTCCTTCTCCGATAGATGTCTTTAGAGGTGGATATAGGCAGTCACAAGAATAGACTCGTCTCATCTAGACACAAGTTCAAGAGCAACTTAACCAACATAGAGTGTGAATGGAGATGCAAATGAAGGAGATGATGGATGCCATACTTAGTGAGATGCTAGGCACAATCCAAGCTCGACAAGCACAAATAGAGCAATTGGTGTCTCAACAGGCCATGGGTGGGCCTGTTGCACCAGTTGCTACACATGTGCATTTACAACAACAATCCTATGCAAGCACCTCATCATTTAATTGCCATCGTTCGTCCCAAGAAGTGAGTAAATAGTTAATTATGAAATTTTCAATATGACATTTTATTCATGTTGTTTTTGTTCTTGTTAAATGCAAGTTCAAATATCAAAGAAGGGGAAGAAAAAAAAGTAGATGGGACAAACTGAGTGAAAGAGGGCCTCATTTTTCTCGTAAGTTAGCTCATCACTTTGATAGTTTCTAGCATCGATTGTGCCGTATGATGAGGTTGTTCACTTAGTAAGATTTTTTTTTTTGAACAGGTTCACTTAGTAAGATAACACTGCCTTCATGAAATTCCATTTTATTTTATTTTTTTGATAAGTACATCTAGTAGGATAGATAAACTCAATATAGCAGTGTCTTAACTCAATATAGGATATTTATTGTGCTAATCTTGTGGGACATTGTTAGAATAGTCGTGTGTTATTTAATTCTATAATGAGGTTTATTCTTGTCATATTGTACCACTTGAGTTTAATATAAATAAATGCTGAGGTGAAGGGTTAGTTTAAGGACCCAAAACCTAATTTCTATGCATTCTCTTTTCTCTTCTCTGTTCTCAATTCTAACCGTAGTTTCTACAATATCTTTACATTCAACTTGGTATCAGAGCACCGATTATACTCACCCAAGTGTTCAATAGAGCCTGGAGATCAGCACCTGGTAACTGCGATGTGCTGGTGACCGCGACGTGCTGATGTCATCTTTTGTACAATGACATTAGCGTGCACTACAACAAAATGCACTTTTGGCGACCAAATTTGGCGACTAAAATAAATTCAGTCGCCAAAACTTGTGGAATTGGCGACTAAAAAGTTTTTTAGTCGGAAAAAGTACAATATTTAGTCACTAATTTTTTTTAGTCGGGAAATATTGATTATTGGCGACTAAAAAAAGTTTTAGTCGCTAAAAATGCCCCACAATTGGTGACTAAAAAATGTTTTAGTCGCTGTATAGATAGTTTTGGCTACTAAATTTTTTTAGTCGCCGAATGAAAAACAAAAATTACTTTCAAACTTTTGGTGGCCAAAAATTTATTTTTAGCAACTAAACAATATTTTAGTCGCCAAAGAATTAAAATATTTGGAGGGAAAATTTCGAATTTTGGAGGGATTTATAAAATTAATTGGCGACCAAATTTAGTGACTAAAATAAAATTTAGTCACCAAATGACATGAAATTATACATTTCTCGACAAATAAATCATTTAGTTGTGGAAGCTCAAAATTTTATAGAGGGAGTAATTTTATATTCGCGCTTCTATCTCACACTTTTACCCTCTCTGTGTATACACTACAACCACCGAACCTCTGTCTCAGCCAACCTTACCATCGCAAATCAACAAACCTCACGGCGATCAAACCTCACGACCGCGCATCCTTAGCACCGTCGGTTCCCGTACGCTGCAAATTAGCACTGCCACCGCCGCTAACAGGTTCGCTCTCTCACTCCCTTTCGCTCTGTTGCTCTCTTGCTCTCTGTCTCGCTCTGATTCTCTCTATCTCGCTCTCTCTCTCCCCCTTCGTCTATTTCCCCAACTGTGAACTCTTGCTCTAGGGTTGTTTATTCTACTCATTTAGTTTAATTTTGTCTTCACTTCTGAAATGGGTTTGTTTGAAGTGGTTTCATTACTAGAATTTTATGGGTTTAATGTTGTAAATGCGTTTGATTTTAGGGTTTGATACCTTTCCCCCTATTTTTCCTTTCTCTCATTAGTTTCAAAGCCCGAATCCATTGTATGTAATCTCATGTATTCAAAAATAAAATTATCAAATAAAAGTGTTATCAGTGGCAAGGTATGAAAGGTTGAATAATTTCTGGCTGTTTGATATGCATGAATGATAGTTCTGATTTATTGATCTACCTCTGCTTCTTAGGCAAGACGGGCATCATCTAGGAGAGAAGTCCTTCATACTGATTTTCTCACACCACCTATCCTGAACGAATCTATTATAGTATTGGGAAAGTTAGCTGACATCAAAGCAGTGGCTCAGGGGAGATACCCACAGGTTAAATTGAATCAACAATTTCTGTTGGATTTTGTTTCAGTAAATATTTTCGACACTTATACGTTAAATATCTTTCAAGTCTTCCAGGCTGAGCGTTTTCGGCTTTCAGTTGGACATCCACAAGCATTTACAACCGATCCAAATATCATTGCGGCATTAAGGCAAGTCATTGAATGTGCATTATTCTTTGAGTGTATTTTTATTTATTTTTTTTGAAATGAAAAACCTTGTTTGTTAAATAGTTACTCTTGCCAGTATCACAGGAAACTTTGGGTTTCACCCTTGTTCTCATGGTGACTTCCTTGGCACAATTCTTGTCACAGGGATTGCTAGGGAGAAGTTGGGGGATATTATCTTGCAGGTATCATCTCCAATTAATTTGAGATATGCATTCATCATCATCATCATCATCATCACTGTCATCAGAACAAAATAACACTTGTAAAGATTTTTTTATTTCATTTAAACTGGTCACCGATACCTGTAATGGACAATGGATCCCTAGTACGATAATCCTTGCTAGGTTGGTAGAGGATGTTTTAATTATAATTTTCCTCAGTTTTTGAGATTCCTTTTTTTATTACCTAGCATCTTTTGATTTTTATTATCAAGAAATTATTATCATCCTTAATGTACTCTTATGAATTATGTTTAGGTTGATGCTTAATGATTGCCAGTTAGGTTTTAATATTCATCTGCTATGCCCAGGGAGAAAGGGGAGCTCAGGTTCTTATTGTTCCAGAACTTGTTGACTTCATCACAGCAGCATTGGACAAGGTAGTGATGCTTTCTCATATATAGCATTCTTGTTGTTTGCCAATTTTTTCAATTTTTTTTTGGGCTATTGATTTCCCACTAAAGCTACCATCTCAGTTTGCTGAGAACCTTATTTTGAATTCCAACGCAACCAATTTCATGTTGCCTCACAAATTCGTCTTGAGTATTGTATATAAACATCCACAATTTTTTTATGATATTGGGTATTGGTTTTATTGATTCATGTTTAATTTCATATTATTTATTATTATCATCATCATTATGAGTGATTTGTTTTGGGTGCTTTGGCATAGGTTCCTGAATGCATCGACAAGCTTGCACAAGTTGGAATAAAAATATGGGTTTTGACAGGAGACAAGATGGAGACTGCAATTAATATTGGGTATGATTGGTAGATATGACTTTCCACATCAGTTAGACTTCAAGTCTAATACTAACAAATAATATTAAACTCGGAGGCACCAGGGTTTAAAGCGCTGGAGAAAGCTGGGAATGAGTCTGCCATCCGTGAGGTTAACATGCAGTAGTTGCTCTTCTTCTTATTATTCTTGTAAGTCTTCAACTTTTAACTAAGATAGGCTCATCATGTATGCTTTAGAGTTATATAGTTGATGAGAGGAAATTTTAGTTGTTGATGCTCAGGCTCTGTTTTTTTCCCTTCTTGAATGACACTGGGTAGATATAGAGAAAATATTTTTTGGTTGAATAAAGTGTTTCTGCAGTTGCTGGTATAAAGACTACATCAATCCTATGCGAAAGACTTGGCCGAAACATAGTAGCCTACATCTGTTAATGAAATACAAGTTATTTTTACTGACAACTGATTAATATTTTTACACAAATTTACTTCAAATGAAAAAACTGACATAGGATGGCTATTAATGATATTCTATGAAATTAATTAGCATTCCCCTTAATTTAAAGCAAGAAATACAATTATGGGCGAAAAAAAAGAACTACAATTATGGAATAACTAACAAGGCAGAACTAAAATAAATGAATTCAATCAGAATATTTTATATAAGATTAACATTTCTTTTCTTAATTTTACTTGTAGCACAGTAGAGTGTCCTTTATATAAGATTAACATAGAAGTTTGTAGATAAATTAATCTCACACTCCTATAATCCCTTTCAAAAGAATTTTTCCCATTAGGAAAGCAACATTGACTCACCTTGGTTCTCAACTTTGTGAATTAGGAGTTCGTTCAATATGAACTTAGAATTCAATCAGAATATATTTCTATATTATTAATCTTTCTTGTGACTTTACTTGTAGCACACTAGAGTGTCCTTAATATACTTGGTACATGACTCTCACACCCCTAGAAGAGCCTTTCATATTCCTAGCTTATGTATCTTCCTATAGATAAATGTACCACCCAATATAATTATAGAGTAAAATTGATGTCAGACATGTGATTGATTGAATTGGGTTTATCATAGAGTAAAATTGCTCCTGCTGACATTTTATTTTTTATTTTTTTATTTTATTTTATTTTATTTTTTTAAGTAATAGCTATATCCCTCCATAATTGTGACGTTGTTAGTGGTTGTGATGGTGATCAAATTGATTAGAGAAGCTGAATATTATCAGTTGATGGGGGACTCAACATGAAAGTGAAAGTACGACAATAAAATGATTGCAACCGTCATGTTAATAGCTTCTGTACAATCATTTTTGTCATGACTCGTGAGAAAATGTCATTCATTTTCCTGATAGGGAGATGTAGATGGCTCAAGAAAGCATAAAATTTTAAGGATTATATGTTCTTCAGTAAACTTAAGGGTTATTTCCCCTTTTGGTCTAGGACTTCGTATCAGGAGATCCCACTGTGATCCCTCTTGGGAACTATCAGGAGGTTAGAGTTACAATCATTCTCCAAGAACCATTTATCTTATCTTATACTTGTGTTGAAAATAAATGTTATTTCTTCCAATAATCGTGCCATGTAGGCTCATGTTTGCAATTCAAAGTCTGGAGATTGTGCTGCATTCCTTGCAAACTACAATTCTAATTCCTTTGCAAAGTTGGTTTTTGGGAATATGCACTACAACCTGCCTCCTTGGTCCATCAGCATTCTTCCCGACTACAAGATATGTTTATCGAACTGATTTATTTTGTTATTGTTATTATTTTTTTGTTGGAGTCTTAATCTGTAGTCCCTAAAAATTGGCCAGTAGTTTCTTCAGTTGGTGTTCTAACTCAGCAATGAAATATGCAATTGAATGATTTTTCATTTGTCGAGTTGAGGATGTTTTCATAATATTAGAAGACTTAGCAGCAGAACACCTGGTGTTTGGATACTCTGAAGGACTTCATTATGATGTGGAAAAGGTAAGCACATGTTTTTTATGAAAAATTCACTTTCCCTGAATTGATTTCAGTAAATTAAATGGTTGAACAGAGTACATAAATGATTGGGTTTCACATAGAGTAAATTAGCACAACAAGATTGTGTAAATTTTATGAAGCCTAACAAGATTGCTAATGCAATTCAATTTCCTTCCAACCTGTTTTGAGACTAGGAATTACATACATTCATTTAAGTTAATAGAAAAAAAAATTAAAAACAATCTAACTTAAATAATCCAACTTAGTCGAAAAAGGGCGTTTGAGAGGCAAAAATGTAAAACAGCCCCTGAACCACTTTCCGCTCTATGGATATCACGGGTAGCTTCCATATGACACATAGGACCTATGGGAACTGACGGGATGTAATTAGCACACGTAGGTTGGGAGTTGGAGTAAAAAATATCTTAAACTTAGTTGAAAAACGGTGTTCAGGGGCCGAAAATGCAAAACAGCCCTTGAACCACTATATGGATGTCATAGGCAGCTTCCTCGTGCCAAATAGGACCTATGACAACAGACGGCATGTAATTAGCACACCTAGGTTGGGAGTTAGAGCTGAAAACGCCTTAAATTTAGTCGAAAAAGGACGCTCGGGGGGTGAAAATGTAAAATAGCCCCCGAACCACTACATGGATGCCATGGGCAGCATCCTTGTGACAAATAGGACCTGTGGCAACAGATGGCATGCAATTAGCACGCCTAGGTTGGAAGTTAGAGCCGAAAACGCATTCAACTTAGCCAAAAATGGGCGTTTGGAGGGCGAACACGCAAAACACCCCCCAAACCCCGTTGTATGCAACTGACTTACTGAACAGGCAGCGCATATACGCAACTTGAAGTGCACTTGCAAGAGCCAGCATAGTGTACTCCCCTATTGTGTAAAGTAGGACTTGTGACAACTGACAGAACGTAATTCGGACTCGTAGGTTGGGAGTTAGAGCTGAATGCACCCTAAACTTAGTCGAAAAAGGGAGTTTCGAGGGCGAAAATTCAAGCAGCCCCTAATCCACCGTGTGACTGTCATGGATAGCTTGTCCATGACAAATAAGACTTGTGACAACTGATGGAGCGTAATTCGGACCCGTAGGTAGAGAGTTAGTGCCGAATACGCCTTAAACTTACTTGAAAAAGAGTTTTTCGGGGGTGAAAATTTAAAACAGCCTTCGAACGACCGTGTGACTCTCACGGATAGCTTCTCCATGACAAATAGGACTTGTGAGAACTGATAGAACGTAATTCAGATTCGTAGGTTGGGAGTTAGAGCCAAATACGCCCTAAACTTAGTCGAAAAAGGACGTTTTAGGGGCGAAAATTCAAAACAGCTCTCGAATTATTGTGTGGCTTACACGGACAGTTCTCCCATGACAAATAGGACTTGTGACAATTGACGGAATGTAATCCGGACTCGTAGGTTGGGAGTTAGAGCCGAATACGCCCTAAACTTAGTCGAAAAATGGCGTTTCGAGGGCAAAAATTCAAAGCAGCTCCCGATCCACTGTGTGACTCTTATGGATAGCTTGTCCATGACAAATAACACTTGTGACAACTGATGGAACGTAATTCGGACCCGTAGGTAGAGAGTTAGAGCCGAATACGCCTTAAATTTACTTGAAAAAGAGCTTTTGGGGGGGCGAAAATTTAAAACAGCCTCTGAACGACCGTGCGACTCTCACGGATAGCTTTCCCATGACAAATAGGACTTGTGAGAATTGACGGAATGTAATTATGACACGTAGGTTTGGAGTTAGAGCCGAATACGCCCTAAACTTAGTCAAAAAAGGGGTTTCGGGGGCAAAAATTCAAAACAGCCCCCGAACCACCGTGTGGCTCACACGGACAGTTCCCCCATGACAAATAGGACTTGTGACAACTGACGGAATGTAATCCGGATCCGTAGGTTGGGAGATAGAGCCGAATACGCCCAAAACTTAGTTGAAAAAGGGTGTTTTGAGGGCAAAAATTCAAAACAGCCCCCGAACCACTGTGTGGCTCACACGGACAGTTCCCCCATGACAAATAGGACTTGTGACAACTGATGGAATGTAATCCGGGCCTGTAGGTTGGGAGTTAGAGCCGAATACGCCCTAACCTTAGTCGAAAAAGGGCGTTTTTAGGGTGAAAATTCAAAGCAGTCCCCGATCCACCGTGTGACTCTCATGGATAGCTTGTCCATGACAAATAAGACTTGTGACAATTGACGGAACGTAATTCGGACCCGTAGGTAGAGAGTTAGAGCCGAATACGCCTTAAACTTACTCGAAAAAGAGCTTTTCGGGGGCGAAAATTTAAAACAGCCTCCGAACGACCGTGTGACTCTCACGGATAGCTTCCCCACGACAAATAGGACTTTTGAGAACTGACAGAACTTAATCCGGACCCGTAGGTTGGGAGATAGAGCCGAATACGCCCTAAACTTAGTCGAAAAAGGACTTTCCGGGGGCGAAAATTCATAACAGCCGCCGAATCACCGTGTGGCTCGCATGGACAGTTCCCCCATGACAAATAGGACTTGTGAGAACTGACGGAACGTAATTCAGACCCGTAGTTAGAGCCGAATACGCTCTAAATTTAGTCGAAAAAGGGCATTTCCGGGGCGAAATTTCAAAACAGCCCCCGAACGACCGTGTGGTTGACACGGATAGCTTCGGCATGACAAATAGGACTTGTGAGAACTGACGGAACGTAATTCGGACCCTAGGTTGGGAGTTAGTGCCAAATACGCCCTAAACTTAGTCGAAAAATGACTTTCCAGGGGCAAAAATTGATAACAGCCCCCGAACCACCGTGTGGTTGACACGGACAGTTCCCCCATGACAAATAGGACTTGTGAGAACTGACAGAATGTAATTCGGACCTGTAGGTTGGGAGTTAGAGCTGAATATACCCTAAACTAAGTAGAAAAAGGGTGTTTCGGGGGCGAAAATTCAAAACAGCCCCCGAACGACTGTGTGACTCACACGGATAGCTTCGCCATGACAAAAAAGTTTTGTGAGAACTGACGGAACGTAATTCGAACCCGTAAGTTGAGAGTTAGAGCCGAATATGCCCTAAATTTTGTCAAAAAAGAGCGTTTCGGGGGCGAAAATTCAAAACGGCCCCCGTATCACCGTGTGGCTCACATGGACAGTTCCCCCATGACAAATAGGATTTGTGACAATTGACGGAACGTAATATGGACCCGTAGGTTGGGAGTTAGAGCCGAATACGCCTTAAACTTAGTCGAAAAAGGACTTTCCGAGGGCGAAAATTCATAACAGCCCCCGAACCACCATGTGGCTCACACGAACAGCTTCCCCATGGCAAATAGGACTTGTGAGAACTGATGGAACGTAATTCGGACTTGTAGGTTGGGAGTTAGAGCCGAATATGCCCTAAACTTAGTCGAAAAATGGCGTTTCGGAGGTGAAAATTCAAAACAGCCTCCGAACGACCATGTGGCTCGCACGGATAGCTTTGCCATGACAAATAGGACTTGTGAGAACTGACGGAATGTAATTCGGACCTGTAGGTTGGGAGTTAGAGCCGAATACGCCCTAAACTTAGTCGAAAAATGGCGTTTCAGGGGCGAAAATTCAAAACAACCCCCGAATGACCGTGTGGCTCACATGGATAGCTTCGCCATGACAAATAGGACTTGGGAGATCTGACGGAACGTAATTCGGACCCGTAGGTTGGGAGTTAGAGCCGAATATGCTCTAAACTTACTCGAAAAAAGGGCTTTCTGGGGGCAAAAATTCATAATAGCCTCCGAATACGCCTTACATTTAATCGAAAAACTTGCAACACTTAGTTAAAAAAGCAACAACTTTATTAAAATAACATCTACATATTCTAATAATTGCCTTTATATATTTATAGGATGAAGAAATTACATGTGACATTGTTTGTGCAGTTGGTTAGAATAAATATTGCATGATACATATATATATATATATATATACTTTCTTTTATTTCCAAGAAGACATTTCTCGATTGTTCTACCTTAAATGCATGTTAGAACATATTCCATATGGCTGACTGAATTGATATTTTGTAACCAATTCTAATGTTTCTTTTTTTGTTTTTCTTTGTAGATGGTTTTTTTGCGTGGACTTGTGGATAATCCATATTGGTGTATGAAGAAGAATTTTCACTTTTGTGTAGAACTAATATAATACTTTTGTTGTCCTCAGCTTTTGTGTAGTTCATTATTACTGATACAGAAAAATTTTGGCAATCAACAGATAATGACTGTCGTGGTACATAGATCACCTTCTGTCGTGGTACATATGTACCATTTGTCAGCGTACATATAGGACGTTTAGTCATGGTCCATAGAAAAATTTTGTCGTGGTACATATATTACCTTTTGTTGTGGTACATATCACGATGGTAATTTGTACCATGCCAAATGGTAATTTCGCTTAGTAGTAAATGTATTTTTTTTTTTGTATACGGAGGGCTTTGATTTTTGTATGATATATTTTGTATGGACTTTGATATTTAATGTTATTTATTTTTGGTATATGGATGCAGATTGTGGAATGATTGATAGTATGTATCATTTTGTTTTTATACGTATTACAGGTTGCATTGTATATAGACAGGTTGTGGAGAAATTATAATTTCGCGATAAAACATAATATCATGTTTTTGGCGACTAAACAATTAGTAGCTAAAAAGAAATTGCGAAAAGACATTTGGCGATTAAAAGTTTTGTAGCAAAAAAAAAAAAAAAGAAAAGAAATTTAGTGACTAAAAGTTTAGTAGTCAAAAAAAAAGAAAAAAAAAAAGACATTTGGCGACTAAAACTTTAATAGTCAAAAGAAAATCAAACATTTGGCGACTAAAATATTTCATAGCTAAAAACAAAAAATTAAATTATAAACACTTTTGCTGACTAAAATTTTAGTAGCAAAAAATGTAGAACTTTAGGTGACAAAATATTTAATAGTCAAAAGATGAACTCTTTGCCGATTAAACATTTAGTAGCCAAAGATGGGGACTTTCGGCGACTAAATTTTTAGTAGCCAAAAAAGAACTCTTTGCTGACTAAAATTTTAGTAGCTAAAAAGGTGGGACTTTAGGCGACTAAAAGTTTGGTCGCCGAAAAGGGTCTAATTTAGTTCAATGTCCAACTTTTTGGCGACTAAATATTTAGTCAGCAAATGAATACATTTGGCAACTAAAATAATTTTAGTCGCCAATTGGCTTTCCCGACTACTATTCGGTTACTAATTTTGCGATCAAAAAATTTAGTCGGTAAAGCCCTTCAACAACTAAAAATTGACTTTTGGCGACTAAAAATTTAGTTGTCAAAAGTGAAAATTCTTGTAGTGGTGACGTCACTATCCATATGGACGTTGTGCTCCGGCGAACTTGTGGGGCTACTCGGTTATGCCTTTTGAGAATTATGGTGATTTTTGTGGAATTTTTTGAAGTTGTTTGATGTTTTTTTTTTTTGATCAGTAACAAACAAAGATCTATTAAGGCACAAGGCCAAGAAAAAAGAGGATAAGGCATCCTCTACAAGGAAGACGGAAAACAAAACCAAAACTTAACAAAAGAAGATACAAAAAGATGAACAAACTAAAACTACACAGTACAAACTGACACCTAGTCTGTAGCAATCAAAAAAGCGGAGTCCCTCGGAATATTGAGCTCGCTGAGGCCCAAAGAGACGCCAAATATCTCACCCTATCCCATAAATAGTCTATATCCCGGGCAACTCCTTCAAAAACACGCGCATTTCTTTCCATCCAAATGATCTAGAAGATTGCAAAGACAACGCCACTCCAAAGCACCTTAGCCCTCTTCGACCTTCCAAAAATTTGGAAATCAAATAATAGCATCTGGGCACATCCTTTTGGGGCCACCCACATCACACTACCCAAACCAAACACCATATGCCATAACTGCCTAGCCACCGAGCAGTGCAAAAACAGATGATCCAGAGACTCTCCACTCTTAAAACACATAATGCACCATTGAGGATTAAGATATCGCAAGGGTTTCCTCATTTGTAATGAATCATTTGTCAAAGTGCCCCATGAACTAAGATCCACATGAACACTTTCACCTTAAGAGGAGCACATGTCTTCCAAATCTTTTTATGAAACAGAAACTGTGGTATATGAGAAGAATCAATAATTTTATCAAGAAAGGATTTACAACTAAAAGAACCCGATGAATGGATATTCCAAACCAACCTATCCTCCAATATTGGAGACAAAGAAACAATTTCAAGCCTTGACAAAAGAGATACTAATTCCGGAACTTCCCTATCATGAAGATTCCGGCAGAAGTTAAAATTCCAAGAAAAAGGAGCCACCAAAGAACCCGCCACAGACGCAACAGAAACATAATGAGACTGAGAAACGCTATACAAGAGTGGATAGAATTTCGCCAAGGACGAGGAACCCACCCAAACATCCTCCCAGAATTTGACCTTTTTCCCATTACCCACCCTCACAGAAATGAATTGGGACCAAACGGGATAAATCTGGGAAATAGATATCCAAGGAGCACGCCCGTTTCCTCTCATGACCACCTGAGAGTCCCTACCATTAACCTGAATCCCATATTTACTTTTAATAACTGCATGCCATAATGAATCACACTCAGCGAGAAATCTCCATAACCACTTGCCCAACAGAGCCGTGTTTCTAGCCACTATATTACCAATGGCCAAACCCCTCTTTTCCTTAGATAAGGACACCGTTTCCCACTTCACCAAATGATCCTTCCGTCCTTCATCTTTCCCTTCCCAAAGGAAATCCCTTAATAATTTTTCTATAGATTATGCTACCTTGACTGGAATCTTAAACACAGACATGAAATAAATTGGAATTCACTTAACACTATTTTAACCAACGTGTACCTGCCTCCCCGAGATAGTAAAGCCCTACTCCACTTTTCTAACATCTTCCCTATCTTTTCCACGACCGAATTCCAAAACACCTCACCCCTTGGATTACCTCCCAGCGGGAGTCCCAAATACTTCATCGAAAATGTCTCTATACCACACCCAGGTAACTCAGCCACTCTCTGAGTCAAACTTGAATCCACATTAATACCCGCTACCCTACTCTTTTCTAAATTTACCCTAAGACCAGATAGTACCCCGAAAAGCCTTACCACCGAATGGAGATTAAACATTTGGCTCTCGTCTCCCTCGGAGAAGAAAATAGTGTCATCTGCAAATTGCAAATGTGTCACACTAACCTTATCTTTTCCAACCTATACTCCTTCAAATAGACCTGCCTCTTTAGCCCTATCCACCATCCTTCCTAACACATCTGCTACTATAATGAAGAGAAAAGAAGATAAAGGATCGCCTTGTCTCAACCCTCGGGATGCCTTAAAACTTTGCCCAAGTTTACCATTGACTATTACCAACATATTGCAAGACGCCAAACATCCCCTAATCCATGACCCCCATCTCTCCCCATACCCTTTTCTATCCATCACAAAATTCAAAAAATTCCAATCTACATGATAGTATGCTTTCTCAAAATCTGCCTTAAACACAAAACCTCTCTTTCTTGCCTTCCTACACTCCTCGACCACCTTATTAGCCACTAGAACCACATCTAGAATCTGTCTGCCTTTCACAAAAGCCCCCTGAGTCGGAGAAATTGTATCCCCTAAATAGGCCCTCAACCTTTTTGACAAAACCTTCCCCAGAATCTTGTAGAGTGATGTCACCAAACTAATTGGTCTAAAATCTCCAATTCTGATGGCTCCTTCCTTTTTAGGAATCAAATAGATAAATGTTGCATTTGCACATAAATTAACCACCACTGTCTCATAAAATTCCATAAAAACTCTCACCAAATCCCTCTTCACCACCTCCCAATAATCTTGGAAAACAGCCATGGAGAACCCATCCGATCTTGGAGCCTTGTCCCTCTCACACTCAAAAACTGCCTCCCTAATTTCCAACTTCTCAAAAGGTCTTTCTAACCAAGTCGCACTTTCCTGATCGATAGGCTTCCACTCAAGCCCCTCTATCCCTGGCCTGACTAACCCATCATTCGAAAATAAATTTGAATAAAACTTAAAAATCCCTTGGACTATTTGCTCCTCTGAGTCCACCACCACCCCTGGCCTTACTTCCAACCTCTCAATAAACTTTTTCTTCCTTTTTCCATCCGCAATCCTATGAAAGAAATTTGAACTAACATCCCCCTCCTTCAGCCACCTCACATTTGCTTTTTGTGCCCCAAAAATCTGCTCTCTAAGAGTTAACTCTTCTAACTTCACACCTAAATCCCTCCTTTCACTCCTCAATTCTTGATCCTCATTTCCCTGCATTTCCAAAGAATCTATCTCCGCAATTCTACTCATAACTTGAAGTTTTGATGATTTCAAATTCCCAAACACCTCTCTATTCCAAATCTTCAAGTGCTCTTTAATGACCTTTAGCTTTCTCATGAATCTAAAACCCTTCCACCCATGACATCTAGCACTATTCCACCATCCCGCAAAATTCTCCTTAACAAATGATGTTCCAACCACACATTTTCAAACTTAAATGGGGTTGGGCCCCACTTAAAAGGGCAACTCTCCATCATAATTGGACAATGATCAGACACCAATCTTGGAAGCGCCTCCTATCTCACGTTGGGAAAACCCCCTCTCAACCCAAAGAGAATAAGAATCTATTCAACCTACAACATACTCAACTTTCCCTAAGATTAGACCATATGAATCTTGCATTAAAAAAAGGAGGATCCACCAACTCACATCCTCTAATAAACCCATCAAAATCTTTCATACTCCTATTGATTCTACTCCTGTGAAGCTTCTTTGAAACCTTCCTAACCACATTGAAGTCCCCCCCTAAACACCAGTTGGGGTAGCGTAACCCATATAACCCTCTTAACTCCTTCCACAAAGCTTGTCTCTAAGAAGGATAGTTCGGGCCATAAACCCCCGACAGCCACCACCCACTATTATCTAGATTCCTGAACCTAATTGATAATGAAAACACTCCAACTAAGGATTTACACTCAAAAACCATCCTTTCATCCCAAATACATAGAATACCTCCAGACTTTCCCACCGATGGTACAAAAGCCCACCTTTTATGCCTTACTCCCCAAACACTTTTAATAAAACTCCTATCATAAGCTTCCACTTTAGTTTCTTGGAAAATGACAATATTAGGTTGATGTTTTCTCACAAAATCTCTAATGACCCCCCTTTTCTTCTGAGAGCCCAAACCCCTCACATTCCAACTAGCAATCTTCATTGAGAAACATTGCCACTCCAAACCTCCTCCGACCTTCTATCATAATTAATAGAGCTCACCAAATTCCTCAACTCCTTTTTCCCCCTTCTAACCGAAGCCCCCCCTTGCTAACACAGTCCCCTCTAGTGGCACTGTTTTTTTGTCCACTACCGCCATCCCTCCCGTTTAACCTTACTAGTGAAAGTCCCATAACTTGAACCAAA